GGAAGGCAAGGTTCTATACAAGGCTACCGGAATCTTCCGTCTGTCACTGGCTCATCCCCACTGGCCAGTGCATGGAGCAGCATGCCTGTGGGCTAGCACTTGCCCCCAGCTCCCACGGTAGCATCTATAAATGAGATGGTCTCTGCTCAGCACTTACTAAATGAAGGAATAAATACAGACATGTAGGAGCTGTAGTGTAATCTATACAAACTCAACTGTAGAACTCATTTTACACAAAGTTGAATAATATGAAAAGATCAGAACATGCTCCAAACACGTAAAATATGAAAAGAGATAAAAAAGAAGAAAGTGTTTAATATTAAAATGGGGCAGAGCTGAGAGATGGTGCTACATATGTAAGGGATGACAATTTATGATAAGGGCAACATAGCAATTGCCATGAGACAATCAAGTGAAGAATTTTAGTATCAGCTCTGACTACACCATTTTCCTCTCTGATAGATGTTTTTCGTTATCTGTTCATAGATTCATTTTACTTCTCCTTACAGCCTATATGGAAAAAGAAAAAAATGCCTAAGGGTATAGCCAATAAAACACTACATAACGTATTTCCTCTCTGCAGCCCAAAAGCTACTTCAGGTTTTAGTTCTTACAAAGTCTAATAAATGAACAGGAATATAAAGGAACAAACAGAAGTCAATTTTGGAACTGACAAACCAAGAAAACCAAAGGTCCCCACTCACTCCATGTTGACATGTACTATTCAGAGTTAAGGCCAATCAGTGAACTCTCAATAAGAACATGCAGACAGGCTACCTCCCTAGTATCCTCACGCCATTTTGCTTTGAAAAGAGGGAATTTTAAAACTTATAAAAGCATTGATTGCAATAGTTTCTCAGTATCTATTTTAGGTAAGAAAACGTATATTCTTGATTCGTGTAAGAGACACATTCAAAAAGGGAAAACAATTACTCAAAATATATTTTGAATGGATGTTTGAGGCCTTCAGGACACTTACTAGGAGAGGTAAAAAGCTCCAGAAAGCTAAACAATCTTCAGAAGTAAATTTCTAGACACACTGACTTAAAGGAATTTGTGGAAAATAACAAATGAATAATATCTCTATTTGATTTGAAACACTTTTCTTTAATGACAACTTTGCCAGTGGAGTTTAATAAACTCCCTGCAATAAGGCCTCCTTTTATAAACAAGCACCAATATTAAAAAAAGCAATTGTTAAGGGAGGATTTATGGGTGAAAACATTAAAATCTTACGTAAGAATAATGAGATTTTTTTTTTACCAGAAAAGCAGTAACTACATATTCATTTAAAACTACACACATCTTCAAAATTCAAAAATGTATCATGATTAATAACTTTCTTAATTTTTTAGACATTTTTCTGTACTTAAATTTCTGAAAATATGTGCTTAGGAAAAATATCTATCTTTAAATTACAGTTAATCTTCCAAAAAGAGTCATGTAATGCCAGAATATAAAGGAAAGAAACACTTACGCTAATATTGTTGAAGGCTATTTTTACACATATTCCAACTCAAAAATCTCTTTAGTTGGATGTCCATCATTTTGGAAAAAGAAAAATGTATGACAGCCATGTTTTACAGCGTGAGGTTTTGGTCTCACCCATCACTGAATCACCTGAGTATTTATTTAAAATTCCATCATCCCTTTCTCCAAAATTCTGAATCAAATGGTCTAAACTAAACCTGGAAATCTGAAATTGCAACATGTGGCTCAAGTAATAGACAAAGAGGTAACAATCTACTTCACTTCTTATACGATGCCATTAAAAAAAAAAAAAAAAAAAAAAAAAAAAAAAAAAAAAAAAAAAAGATTATCTTAACTGCCTTAGTCAGTTAGTAATGTACCAAAAACAAAACCACCTAAGGGCAATCTTCCAGCACAACTTTCTTTGGGGTAAACATCTACCTCTCTCATGATTCCCGCACATGCTATACTAGCTGCCTTTCCCACCAGTCTACTGTGTTCTTTCCTCTGACAGGACAAGGTAAATTTTTTTAAAAAATTATACATTAAAGGAAAGAAAACTGAATTTGTTCCTATATTGGAGTAGTACCCGTCAATTTCCTTACATTTTTAATTCTCTTCATATAATTAAGTTATGTGGGCAATAAATTCACTGTTTTAAAGTAATGAAGATAATTAAGCTTTGCTGCATTAAGTTAGATTCAAAACAAATTAAGATACTAAAGTTCAAATATAATCCTTATTACATTTTATGATAAGTAGCTTATTTTTCATCACTTTTGAAAATGTGTGTGTGCAAGCAGGGCAGATAGCTCAGCTGCATAAGCGCCTGCCTGGCAAGCAAAGGTCCTGAGTTCAATCTCCAGAAGAAAACAAAACAAAAAACTCTAAGGGCCAGGGAGATGGCTCCGTAGAATAAGCACTTGCTTGGCAAATGCGAGATCCTGAGTTCAATCTCTGGTACCACAAAAAAAAGAAAAAAAAAAAAAAACACAGAAAATGTGTCATAAAACTTATAGAAGTTGCATCAAAGTATTACACTATCATTTAATGGTTTTCTTAAAAACTTAGTTGATGCCCACACTGGCATAAAGGCCTCTGCAATCAGGAAAAGGCTCCTTTCTCATTTAGCACACCACCATTTACTTCAGGTAAGCTGCTTCACTGAGACTGCCTGGGGCAGCCTTCCTCTGGAGAAAAAGACACCTAGCACAGTATGTAGATAAAGTGGAGGGCCTGAGCAGGACAGCCTTCCTTAACCTATGACCCCCATCTCCATCAAGATTTAACCCCAAATTCTTCAAGATGTGGCCTTCATATTAAATGATGCCATTAAATAAAACAAACTTAGCATGTGTTCAAAAACTTCAAAGGTACATACATAGGCATGGTACTGGGTAGAAAAAGACTTAAATAACAGAGAGGGATCTGGCCCTAATACTTTAATTTTTAAAGAGAATATATTCTTTGTGTAAGTAAGTGTTTCTAGTTCCTGGATTTCTTAGGAGTTCCTTGTTTTGTGTCTCCGTAACTCCTCCACAATGAATACAGTAATCCATCATCTCTCACTGGTCCTGCCTTGCTCTTTTGCCTGGAAGGCTGGACTTGTGTCCCCTTCTTCAGTAAACACAGTACTTTGAGAAGGCCAGTGTGACATACAGAATGTATTGAAAGCACTTCCTGAAATTCCTAGATCATGACTTTTCAAAAAAAGAGAGTTCTTGGACTGGTTAAAGGACAGAAAATTTCTTCTCAATTTAGACTTCATAATGACAACTCAGTATGATGCTTAGGAAGCTAAACTTCAAGTTATAAATTTCTGGACTTAAGTTAAATTCTGCATGATTAGCTGTAATCCCTACAGAAAATATAACTCTCATTTTTCTCATCTTAAAATATATTTTGAGCTTATGCACTTCCTATATTTTTAAGGAAGATTAAAAAGGAATATATACAAGTCAAGTAGCATGCTGTCTGTTCTCAACAAATGGCATCATTACTATGCTTTGCACACTCAATTACTAATTATAAATCAATAATGTCAGGTGTTGTTTGCCAATCAAAAATGTTATTAAAACTCTGAAAATATCTTTCTCTGAAAAAAATCAGATAAATTCAGACAATCTTGCTAATGTAAACAATGAAACTAATAAGTCTATCAAGTCTGTGCAAAGATTAATACCTGCATTAGCCAGAATAACTTCCATACCAACAAATGCAAATTATGCATTTTTAACCTCCATTCCAGGAAGAAAAGTTTTAATCATCTAACTTCACAGAATGAAAATCTTCATATTCAGTTCATACATTATTAAGCTGTACATCACTATTCTTCCTGAGGAATATGCTAACTATCCAAGTTATTAGTATGCTGACAGTGCTCAATGAAGCCTTCCACAATTAATTGGCTAAGAAATCTTATTCAAAAAAACTCAGTGAATAAGTTCACACCAAAGTTCAAAGGATGCCTCAGATAAAGATCTATATAGTGCAGTTAATTTTTGAAACTATCACCAACGTAGGATTGGTATCTTTTTTTGTTATGAAATAGCATTTATATTTCACCATACCATAATCTACAATAACATCTAATAAAATCAGCTCCTCTTAGATCAGATATCCAAAGGACACTGATTAATGCTACAAATAATTAGTAAGCACCTACCAGCCTGGGCTGAAAGGTTAAAAAATAAGAAAGTACAGTGAAAAAGAGAAAAATAACAATTTTTTTTTATATACTGAAAAAAATTTTTTCATTTACATACTGAAAATCAGTATGTGATATTAGAGATAAGGAAGTATACAGAATCAACACTTCCCACTTTACTATCAGTCTCTTCAAAAATATTTAAATTCTCTTTTGAGTATTTTTATCCCAAACAAATTTAAAACATAAAAAATTCAAGTTTATTGTATTTATTTATATGTGATGTGCACGTAGGTAAATGTGTGTATTTTGATAAGAATTATTTACAAAGTAATATATATATTTATATTTATTTATATAATTTTGCATTTTTGATATGTATATTATATATGTATAAAATGTATATATTTTTCCACTTATCTCATTTATGGTTCCCAGAAGCAACATACCCACTAAAAAAGAAAAATCAGGAATAATATCCTGTAAACTCAAGAAAATATGTTGCCTATGTTAACTCAAAAGTTTTCTATTAAAAAGAAAAAGCACAAGAGGTGCAGATTGACTTATTTCATCAAGTGTAATGGTGAACTGGTTCTTCATTATTCTCTCTTGCAGTTTGATTTTACTTCAACTAAGAAATACGTTTCAAAAATTATATTCAGCAGTGTTCTTTCCTAAACACCTTAAAGGGTGATGTCCAGCCTCAAAACAGATAGAGACACTTTCCTGAAACAAAGTATTCAACCACTCTTTTCTCTATCTTTAGTGAAGAATTCAATACAAAAACAAGACTCTATAAATAAAAACTTCAAAAAACTCCAAGAGAACACAGTTGCTACTCTAATCAAAAACAGCAACTTGCAATTAATGTGACAAAACTCACCTGCTCATTTTTGCAAAGCCACACATTGCTTCCCTTTAACACAGTAAAAATTTTGGCTTTGTACCCTCTCAGTTCAAGATACCCGCATTTCTCGGGGGCAGCAGCTGCCTGAGACTGGGAAGGCAGGGACTGTGACTTCAGTGCATTCAGCAGCGTGCTGATCCAGGCGTTCCTCTCCTCTGAAAACACAAGCAAGCACACAATCTACATGTAAGTTGGGTTGTACAGACACCGAGACAAAACCAAGGAATCTGTTTTCTTTAGAACAGGTAAATGACAGACACTTTCTCACCACCACAGTAAAATGCCACTACATCCAGGTCAGTGAGCCAGCTCTTTAAAGGGAAAGAGCACTACTCGGTTGTTCCAGAACGCGTGTGCCCTGGTGTCTACTGGGAGGTTATGACAAATGCAATGTCTGAGGACCCACTGCACCTCTGATAAATCAGAATCTACTCCAGGGGAACTGTGTTTCTGTAAAGCCTGAGAAACACATACACACGTGACTCATGACACTAGATTTTCTCTTTTGGCATAACAAAATAATGTTAATTCCCAACAATTAGGCTGGCCAGATAGCTCAGCAGACTAAAGCGCCTGCTTACACAGAGCACAGTGGCATGAGTTTGATCCCCAGGATGCCGTGCTGGCCCCACCCTCTGGGCACACTGAGATGGCCATTGAGACTGGACGTGGTAGTGCTTGGGAGGCTGAGAAAAGGAGAATCACTACAAGTCTGATCTGGGTAGTGAGACCCTACAGACCCCATGGACCCTGTCCTAAATACATTAAAAAAAAAAAAAAAAAAAAAACAATAGATGATATGTTACAATTTAGTCATTCAAATACCCAGAAAAATCTTTTGTTATAATTCTGCCTTGATATTTAATCTCCCTTCCCATTCTCAATAGAAAAAGAACATCTCATGGCAAATGTAAACCTGGTACTCCCTGCTTCCTTCACAAAGCTGAAGGACCTTCAACTCTACACAACACTGTGTTAGGGGCATAGGAATGCTGTTTCTCTTCCAAGAGCAATCTAAGCTGTAAGTCAAGGTAGATGTGAACACACACATGTCATACAAGTAGAATCAAATAATGTATGCGTCACTTCAGGTGAGTTAAGTGATCTGCTGAAGGTCACTTAGTAAATTCATATTAAAATCATGACAATCAAGTGTTTAATGCTCACTTGGCTTTTTTTCTTTTTTTGAGTATGAAATAAAAGAAATAATTTTATTCCTTAACCAAGAGGATGAGGAATAATTCAAAAGGTGAGCAATAACATTATTGTTTTGTCTTTTTTTAATTTGTTTTCTCTTTAATTTCTTATAATTTTTTCTTGCAATTTTACATGCATATATCTGATAATCTGAACAACTAATTTGAAGACAACATTATGCAATACAATAAATACTGTCAAAGTCATATTATTTTATTTAGTGAAATTCTGTATCATTTTAATTTTTTATGTTTTAATGCTATTTTGTACTCTCTTTAAAAAATAACAACAACAAAAAAAAAAGGTTGGCCAGATAGCTCAATGGATTAAAGCACCTGCTTTAGGCAAGCACAGGGATTGGGGTTCAATGCCTGGCATGCACCACACCGCCCCCACGAGGCACCCTGAGCTGGCCACAGAGATCTGACATGGTGGCACACATCTGTAATCCCAATGCTTAGAGGCTGAAAACAGAAGGATCACTACAAGTCCAATCTGTGTAGTGAGACTCTGTATTAAACACATTAAAATAAATAAATAAATAAAAAAGAAAAACACAAAAGACAAAACTGGAACTTGGGAAAGGGAAGAACTGAGTAGAGTGCTGAGCAAGACCAACACAAAACAAAAGCAAGAGGAACCAACATCTTCAGAAACTGACTACACCATCTTCCCTTCCTATTTAAGGAATTTCCTTCTTAAGAGACAGAGGAAGCACACTTCAGGATTAACAGCAAGGAAGTGACAGGTTCTGGGTAATACAGGATGATGACAGGTAGACCGAACTGAAAGCTCAGAGATCAGAAATAAGACTTAAAGTGGAAGGAAAATAAAAACAAATGAGCATATAAAAAGTAAAGGTATTAAGAGGAATAAAAGCTAGCTAGTTAAGTAAGGTATGGACAGCACAGACGGATGTCCATTAAGGAATGAATTACACAGAATAAAAGGCAGCTTGCTGTCATGAGCAGCCCAGACAAGGTGAGATGATTCAGTTAATCAAAAGGACCACCTCACGTGCACACTGGCATGGCACATGGCTCTGTGTAGAATGACAGCCACATGTGAACAAAGGAAGACCCATGGACACAGGCAAGTGTTTAATGGAAAAGCAGAACACTGGACAAGCCTTGAGGTGTCACTGGACCAGGAAAAGTACATCCAAAACAAAACAAAATGGGTAAGGGTTATTAAGGAAAAAAAAAAAAAAAAAAAAAAAAAAAAAAAACACTGAATCCATGTAGAAAAAATTTTCATGGAAAGAGTATATAGGACCTACGCCTAGGAATTGTAATAGTTTCTGAAATCCTTCTGTGACAGGACTCTCCAGAGCAATTTTTTTTTTAATGCACTTGGTACAGGGTCTCACTACACAGCTCAGACTCATAGTGATCCTCCTGTTTTCAACCTCCCCAGTGCTGGGATTACAGGCATGCACCACCACACCCAGACTGGGTCACGGGTCAGTGCACCCCAAGGATGGAGCCAGTACAGCATGTGGGACCTGGGATCGAACCCTAGCTCCTGCACTTGCCAAAGCAGGCACTCAGTCTGCTGAGCTACCTCACCAGCCCTTAGAGTATCTTTTATGGATGCTGAAAGACGTCTCCGTATTAGATGTCATCACCTTTAAACATCAATCTAAAATTATTTTATGAGTCTTAATTTTGAATTAGATTCATTCTTGTTCACTTTCAAAAGTATTATATATTAGGATAAAATATTTATCAAATGTCCCCTCTGCTGCTATTTATCTTAAGCTAAAACACGTACAAGTACTCAGCTAACACACTGACAATAATCATCTCTTCCAGTTTTATACACACACACAGGTCCAGACTGTGCTTAGACAACATCCTCCATTTTTAGCTAACAGCTAACTTGGTTATTACTTGTGTTCATTCATTTCACACAAGGTATTTCCACCAAATAAATGTACATAATGGTTTCTTTTTGTGTAGATCTACATAAATCAACCTGAAATATAGATCATAATTTAATGAACTAAGTCAGTGTTTGAGGACTTTAGTGGCAGTTAACAAATCAATTTCTCAAGAATTAATTTGAAAGTAGCAACTACTTTCTTTTGTGGGCTGACATATCTTATACTGGTATCACAACACATGGTTCACTAGCATTAGCTATCTCCTGGGGGCCTGTGCTACAAAAAAGAACAATGAAGAATAATAGGACAAAATTAATGATAATACTCAGATGTTTCAGGTTATTCCTAATACAACAAAAGAGAGAAATGGTGAATAAGTAATTGAAACACAAGAGCTTACAAGTGTCATTTGTCTTTGGCTATACAAGCAGACATGGGGAATATACATTGGTGACTGAGAATACTACAAACCAAGTTACAGTTTCCTCTTAGGTAAGTATCTTGAGCAAAGCTAGATCTCAAACAGACCACAGCCACATTATGTAGGCTGTTGGGTACCGTAAGTACTTTATTCGCAGTAGGGGAAGGCAATGTGACCTTGGAAGTAAACTGATATGACTTGACTTTCTGGCTGACTGCTCTCACATCCAAACTGGCAACATGACCATAAATTAATAGGAAAAGTGACAAACACAATCCCCAAAGAAGCAGTGGAGTGGGAGCAGTGGAAGTGTTGAGAATTGGTCAATATTCAGACATATATTCAAGGTCAATGGAATTTCCTATTGAACTGGAGGTGAGAGAAGAAAGAACAGACTTAAAAGTGGAATCACAGCTTACTACATAAGCATCTGGGTCTTCCATATATTGCAATAAGAAAAAAAATACAGAAGAATTTCTGGTGGAAAGGGTAGAAACACAAATTTGGAATTTGAGCAGCCATTAGACATCCTTTTTTTTAGTACATGGTCTACAGGGTCTACAAGGTCTCTCACTACATTGTTCAGACTCATAGTGATTCTCCTGTTTTCCGCCTCCAAGAGCTGAGATTACAGGCACACGCCAGTCTTAGATATACATGTTGAGCTGCATACACATATAAAATCCTGAAATAAAGGAACAGGACAGAGATGGAGATACACATTTCAGATCACTCCATTTATATCCATGAAATCTTTTGTAAGACAAAATTTGGAGTCCCTAAAAAAGAATATTTTAAAAAGAAGTTAAAACTTAAGCAAGTTCCTCAGTTATGCCAGAAACTTCCAGAGCAGCATCAAGAATCCTACAAAATAGAGAGAGAGAGTTGGCAATCAATCAATCAATCAATCAAGAAAGAAATAAAGAAAGAAATGGGGGGGAGGGTGGGAAGGATGGAAAATATGTCATGCCCTGCTTATAAAAACACTGAAGATCTCAATGGAGGATAAAAATCCTTGCCAAGAACAACTAAGAAAAATAGGTTTCTTACACCAAAAATATTTATCAGGAAAAAAAAAAGACAAATCAAAACATGAAACTTTACAGTATCAATACAGTAGCTAAAACTAGAGGACTGTATGACATGGTTTAAACGGAGCTGGAAAATGATATGCTTGCTTGTTTCTCAGAGGTCTAGAACGTGTTAACGTGGGCAGAAACATACGCTAGCTACACCTGTGATCATAGGTGCCACATGGAAACTGACTGAAGGAAAAGCATTTACTGTTATGACCTTGCCCCAAGTTCACTGGTTCTGCTCAAGAACAAGAGGATTTAGAATAAATTTTCTAGTTGAACAATAGTATATTTAATTTTTTAAATGTTCTGATTATGAAGCTTCATAAATGGAAGCTTTAATTAAGCCTAAAGCTCATTAAGAAAAATTTTCATTTTCCAGTTCCTACAAAATAATCAACCACTTGTACATGTGAGAAATAAAGATCAGTTAATAACACACTTGAGTATCTTTTTGAAAGTCCCATACTAAACAGACATATGCCACTTATATACAAATATACACATACACATGCTTGAACATACACTTCTTTTAAAATCTGAGTTATTACTATGTAAAAATAACTTCCAGTCAAACTTACTCAGCAATTCCATGGGGAATTTTTACTTAAGCAGTGTTTCCATGGTTTCAAAAATTAAAACCCCACAATTTTATTTCACAAATAATAAATTTATGTCAAGGCTCAAAAAAATCATATACATTTTCATCACAAAAATGAACTATCTGCTACAAAAGGATCATATTGGTCCACTGTAAATATGTAATTTTAAACACATATGTGGATTTATACACCCTATTTAAATAAAATATGTCTGTTTTACTTTTAATATAGCAAGAAACAGATTTTTCACAAGTTGGAAGCTTTAGTTAGTACGCCTGCCTTACCACAGAGACTAAATGGCTTATATGTAATTCCAGTTGAGAGCCCCAGGGGAAGCGAGGAGACCCCAAAGAAATAGGCAGCCACCCCTCTATGCAGTGGAATCCAAAGTACAGGAGAGACTGTTGTGCTGACCAAACCAGATGAGCAGTGTGTAGTAAGAAATACATGACGGGGAAACTTATTTCAAATATAAATCCCTTCCCAAATTATCAAAACTATGGCAACTTTCTGAATTTTAGGCAATCATTCAGAAAAATGGCTCCACGTGTAGTCAGTACTTAAGATGCTCTGGGACAAGGGAAGCAAATACCCTTGAGAGAACATAAGTAAATGAGAGTGGCTGTGACCTAACAAGACTTCATTTATAAAAAAGAGGCAGCAGCACCTCTTATTCGGGGTTCTGGGGCCAGCAGAGTGTGCGGTACCAGGAATCAAATCTGGGTCTTTGTTCTTGCCAGGCATGTGCTTAGACTGCTGAGCTATCTCCCCAGATGCAGGTTACAAGTTGCAGTTTGCTGACCCCTGGCTCCAGGGTCATAGCTTTGGAAGAGTCTTTTAAATGTCATGTAGCATATACTTAGGTATTTGATAACATAACACACTCTGGCACTTCTTATTTTATGTTTTTGGTGACATCATAAACTGATCCTGCAAATCAGGAGTAACTCAAGTTTGGGGCAGGGTGGGAACACCAGTTCTGGTGTGAAGAAACCTGTAAAATATTCATTATAGATCATCCAAAGCAACAATGGGAATTTCTAGTATTATATTTATCAAATTTTTTCTTCATGTCAATTATGCTCTTCTATGTTCTACAAAATCTAAGCTTCCCAGGTTTTTTTAATTTTCATTTTATATATCTATTTTTAGTTTTTACTTATTTATTCATTTAGTACAGTGTCTTACTACACAGCTCGCACTCACAGTGATCCTCCTCCCCAGCCCTGGGATTCCAGGTGTGCACCACCACATCCAGTTTTGGTGGCCAGCACCTCTTATCTGGGGTTCTGGGGCCAGGACAGTATGCGGTACTGGGAATCATATCTGGGTCGCTGTTCTTGCCAGGCAGGTGCTTAGACTGCTGAGCTATCTCCCTAGCTCTCCTAGGTGTTTTTTTTTTGTTGTTGTTGTTGTTGTTTGTTTGTTTTGTTTTTAAAATAATGCTTCCACATAATAGTTACCACTATAGTAGCTTCCAACTGCTGGTGAATTCTCAGTAAAATGGGAAGACTGCAGTGCTTACCCTGTAACACTGCTGTGGAAAACAAATGTAGCGGACCATCTTACCTATCAGTTATCCAGTGAGTTTTCTATCTGATCAGAATTCACAGTAAAGCACCAAGAAATACTTTGTTGAGAAATCAAGCTTAATTATATATCTATGCTAAAAGAAAAGCAGTCCTCAAAATGAGGTTAAATTCCAACTGTTTAAGGAGACTGTCTTACTTACATTTTTAAAACTAGTGAGATTTATAGTAAGAGCATATCATGATAGTCAAAATACACAACATAAAAGTTTTAACTTCCCTGGCTTCTAAGAAAATAAAATTCAGAAGAGATTTCTCTCTGCTCCTTTAGATGTGATCCAGAAGACATGCCCTCTAGATCAGTGACCCATTACAGTTAAAACACACAAAAAGAGTTTAAGAAATGTAAAGGTTGCTTCAAAATCTCTAGAAGAATGACTGTGCTGTACATTCAGCTAAAAGTCTGACCTAGAGAAACTTTCTCAGAAAATCCACTTACCAGGAAAACTGTTTTTACATATTAGATAACTATTCGATTGTCAAAAGGGCCTAAAATGAGCCCCATGACAGCAGAGATTTTTATCTGCCTTTTCTCATCTCAGTGCCATACATGTACAGCTTTTCAAAAAGGTCCTTAGTATTTAGCAGCTCCATGCTAAAATGCATTACATAAAAGAAAAATCAATAAAATCTCTCTATTTAGGTTTTAACATCATGTATTAAAAAACAAATTTCAAAATGTAAACCATGTAAAAGATTTTTCGTACATATATATTACCAGATTTATTAATTTTGCCAGAAACTAATGCAGTCTCATAAGGATAAAGAAAGAATATTACCTTCTTTTTCTGCTCGAAACACAAAAGTTCTTTGTGTTGTAACAACTTCAAATTTGTTATCTCCTTGAACTCGTACTGTAGATACAGCAGAAAGGGGAATTATTCCTTTTGAATACATCTCCTGCAATGAATAGAGAAAAAGATAAAGACACATTAAAAAAATTTTCTTGATCTCATTAAAAAAGAATGCCACAGTATTTACAACTGCTTTGTTTACAAAATTTCTATCCAAATTTTTAAATGACATAAAAATGCATTAATTTAATACCACAGAAAAATATTAAATCCTTGTCTTTCAAGTGAAATATCTTCTCTCTTTTTTGTCTAGGATTAAGAGGTAAAAATTAAAATATGAACAATCATACTAGACTAGCAATAAATTAGTTCCAAAAAGCAGTGCGTTCTTTAGAACTTCCTTGTCAAAATGATTTTATGGTGTTTGCAGGCATCTGCTGGCCACAACAGGTACTGTAAGTGAACCACCTAAAAAGGACTGCTGTTACCTACTAAGAATAAAAAATACCTAAGAGACCTGTGGGACTGCATGAATTAGTCGTGCTATACAATGCTTTGATAATGAGGATATCTTAATGTCACATTACATCTAGTTTTATACATCAATGACTAAACGGAAAAAAAAAGGTGGATTTAGCTACTTGTAAGTGGCATATAAGTATCATGATTTCACTAAAAACATTAATTCTAACGGCTTTGATAGTTTTTTATTTTTATTTTATTTTATTGAGAAAAAACATCAATGAGACAGTTTCAAAACTGATTAATAGGACAGTTTCAATAATTAATACATTGTATACATTGTTATCTTCTTAGTGGTTTTCCATAGTACAAGATGCAGACAGAATATCCTGTCCAAACACAATTAGTACAAATCTTTCTTTTCATTGAATAAGCAAAAGTAGCTGTATATCTATCCTAACTATTCTGCACATACAGATACAAAATGCTCCTTCCTTTGTATCCCCTTTTTTATTTAGCCCTGTCAGAAATGGGTATTCCACTGCATCTAAATACTATAGGTGCGTGAACTCAGCAAAACAATCCAACACAGTCCAGCAGTCCACAACAGTAGTGGATTATCCACGGAAGTTGTTGACTTGAGCCTTTCACAGCTCAGTATATTAATAGGGCTTTACTTTATATGCCTCATTTTTATACTTTTCTGCTGGATGGTTAAGACCAAGATAAAGCAAGACCTGTATAACAAGAAATGTAACTTTTATATCTGATAAGGTCAGTCAAGTACCTTCAGGATTTATCCTGCAACCCTGTACCGCAGGCTTTGATAGTTTCTTCTCAATCTTCATTTTCTTAGGACCTCACAAATTATTAGGTAGGATGACTACCCCACAACTTACACTATTACTAAGAATATAATAGTGCTGGGTCCTGTATTAGAAAATGCAGAGTCCTTAAACATTCTGGGAGCCTCAAAATTGAAAAAAAAAAAACCTAATATATAACAGCAAACATAAAACAGAACACTAAGTAAAGGATATACGAGCACCAAGACTGAGAAGTCCTCGCTTTCACTTAAAAGGGTGAAGGATGTTTTCAGAAACATGGTGACATTTAAGCCTGACTTTAAGAAATCTTCACTTCAACCAAACTGGTGAGTGAGTGGAGACCATTACGTTTAGGAAGAATGCGTAACTGGAGGTGGAAAGCTGACAATTAACTTAGCAACATAGCAAGTAGCAAGCAACACAGAGCGCAAAGACAAGAGCCTGAAAACATTACGCAAAGTTTTGAACAGCAGAAGAGTTTGGAGCCCTTAAAGGGATCCTTCCATCCCCTTCCAAAGTATGATTCACAGAATGTCCCGTTGAGAGCTGGTCCTCTGTATCTAAAATAACTGGTAAGGAAAATGTACTATGTCATTTCACACAAGAAAGTAAAACAAAGTTCACATTCCAGCTATAAACTCCTGCTGCAGCAGACAGATTAGGCATGTCTGTAGGTAGCATGGCACTCTCCTCAAAGGCTCGTCCTCTTCCTCTAGGCAGGGAGACAACACTATGTACCGTGGACCGTGGTGAGAGTCTCTCTTTGTTCTTTAACAGTTCCTACATAGGCTGTGCTCCAATCTCCCATCTCTGACTTTATGTGTCCATGAAAACTCCATCTATTTCTTAAAATAACCTAAGTATCAATGCTATATCTGCTTTCTTCCTCATGTGCTCCAACGCAGTTGAATCTGAATGTGATGCTGACACTGCAACTCACAAAGATAAATGAGCTACCTCAGATAAGAAAAGAAGAAGGACGTTAGGAAATAAGCACTTAAAACAATTCACCCCCCATCCTCTTTTAGTCATCTCTAGTCAAGATGAAAATCCCTTCCACAAATGCTACTACCAGCCTTATGGGAAGAAATTTAAATATTCTCTTTCCTTCTCCCCACCCTTGCTCTCTCCTCCTTTCTTGTGCATGCATTTCATTCAACTTCATTCTTACATTTTGAGTCAGTAATATATGTAAGTGTCCTATAAGTAGTTCAAAACTAAAACTAAAAATTTGAAAACTAGTTTTAGTTGAAAACTAAAATCACGATCATCTGAAAATTTGCCTTCCCTTTATATCTGCCCACTAAAATAACATCTCATCAGTCTAAGATAGGATGGAACAGATTTCGCATGGGCTCATCATCCACACTCACACTACCTAGATCTCTCCTCGTCTACATTGGTCCTCTTAAGGTTCCCTGGAATATGACATTTCTGCACATGTCTAAACTGCTTATTTAAAAAGGAATGTCCTTTACCACCAACCTCTCAGTTACCCCATCATACTTCCACTTAAATGTATCTTTCTGAAGAATATCTTTCTGACTAGGCTTTTCTCTCAGGCCCCTCATCCTTACCTGGGTAGCTAATCCTAATTTTATCTGATAGCAACCTCTACTTTTACTCTACAGTAATGACACACTGTAATTTAAATAGTGATTTGGTATACACAAATGTACATGTTTGATGAATATAGTCTTCTCAACTATACTTTAGGTCTTTTACTCATTTTCCTCACCATTTTTCTTTCTCAGAACTGTACATGTCTGTCTTTTTTTAAAAAAAATGCATTTAGTACAGGGTCTACAGGGTCTAACTACACAAACCAGACTCAAAGATCCTCCTGTTTTCAGCCTCCCAAACACTGGGATTATAGGCATGTGCCACAACGCCCAGTCTTACCATACATGTCTTTTTTGAATGATGGAACTCAATACTTAATCAATCACAATTATACCAAACTCTGATGGCACATTTTTAATATTTTTGAAATTCATTTATTATAATTTCTCCTGAAACCAACACTAGTCTACACTCTGATAAACTAATGGCAGGCTTGCCACAGTACTCTCCTGATTTGCTTCCATGCTTTCGGCCTGTTTTCCTCTTATATTTCTCTGAATAACACTGTTCATTTGACAGACGGTTGAAGAAGATAAAAAAGAGGCTCAGAGGAGGACAGGATGGATCTTGAAGTTTGCATAGGATTTTTGATGTGTGACAATGGTGGTACAGATGAAAGAGGACAAGGAACATATAAAGAGGAAGAATATCAAGGGTCAAATCGGACTCAAATTTTCCACTGTGTATGCTTAAGTATTATTGGCAAAGATCATTATAAAGAAATATATGACTTGATTGGAAACCTTGAGAAAACAAGCAGGTTAAATGGCAGGGTAGGGTCAAAACTAGAGCACTCAATCCTCTAGAAATTGGTGACAGAGAACGAATAACATCCCATGGTCAGGGAACTAAAGGAATAAAGGCAGAGTTTTTTGGGGGGACAGTTAAAGGGTTATTCTGTTTAAGTTGATAGTAGCTAGCAACAAATAGCACTAAATTTAAAAAGTCCAAAATATTTAGAGTTTATCCAAATAATCTGTCCCCAAATTTTAGCTTGCATAAGAATTACATTTATGTAATAAAACCCTTAATGAGATAACTAACCATTTGTTCAATATTACCTTTGACCCATTTTTCAGTAAAGAAACACAAGCAGCATTTCAGAATAATAAGCAAAAATAAAGAGGTTCTCCTTATACCAGATCTCTTCAAGTGGATGAAAAATAATTTCTTAAAAAATAACAATCAATATGCCTATAACAGTGTTCAACAGGTAAGCACTTGTAAGAACAATACCAAAAACAGAAGTCCCCAGAAGCGATTAAAATATACTTAACAAGCTAAACAATATGTCAATTTAACCTCAGGAAGTTGTATTTTCTCTAACAACTCATTTATAATCTATCATGAGATCCCAAGGTGAATCTTGTAATTTTTAGCACCACAGAGTTGATTTTATATTTCTCTTGTAACAAGACATGATAAAGATAATGTAAGAAAAAAGAACTTAAATGACAGCAAGTTCAAAATTCCTGTGTTTTCCAGAGTATAAAATTTTCCTTAAGGAGGGGGGCCAGGGGAATGGCTCAGTGGAATAAGCGCTACCCAGCAAGTGCAAGGGCCTGAGTTCAATCCCCGATTCCACAAAAAAAAAAAAAAAAAAAATGTCCTTAAGGAAAGAAATGTTAAAGCATCCCTGCAGCCTGTAACATACAGTTATCTAGGTCAAAATTATCATTTATCATCTACTCTTAGACAATGAAAAGACCACAGGGCAATTCTGCCCACAGCTGAGTGAGTGAGGCAGTGAGTAGGATTTCCCAGCAGGGTACAAGGTACCAAGGCTACCACAATGATGCCATTTTCTGTCACAAAGTAAAGTCCTGGTGGAGATGTGACTGATCAACTATGAGGACAGTGGAAGAAAGCCAGGGAAGCAGGTGACACTGCCCATTACCTCCCAGTTGCCCTGAGCATGTGAGCTCCTTAGACAGGTTCAGTCCTTCAGAGAAACAAACTGCTCTGTTCAGAGCTGCAGAACCTGTGGGAACAGTAGCTGTGACCACACCCACAGTGGCTTCTGACAGGAGGGTCACAGTAGAAACTGCACTTCCTTTTACAATACACCCACTGCAATGCTGTTTTCATTTGTTTTGCCGAGATGAAACCAACCAGTAGGCAATACACAGACGAAATGCATTAGCAAACAACAATTTGATTTTTTTAATAATATTAAGCTGAAGGTTAAAGCTGATTTGTGCTAATTCAATGTAATAGGGGCTGGGAGTTTAACTCAGTGGTATAGCACCTGCCCAGCAAGCATGAGGTCATGAGTTCAATTCCTGATACTGCCCCCAAAAGAAACTGTCTGAAAGTGCTCTTTCAATGTAACAGAAATTTTTCATTTCAATTTCAACGTCTGCATTATTTCATGTCTGCATCATTTTTATTTCATCAGTATCTAAAAATTTAATGGGCTCTTATTTTCACCTGCAGTTGCGATAACTCTGAAAAGACAGAGGGGGAAAAATAGTCGAAGTACTGTAAGTTGCTAAAAATTCTCTTCAATTTAGTGAATTTTCTTCAATTTTGTGAAGTGAATTTCTCTTCAACTCACTTAGAGAAGTGAAAGGAATAAGAACGCCGCCACCACTGACCTCGTGGCACACAAGCATGTGTCACTCCTCCTTTCAGTGAAACCAGAAGAGGGCACAGGTACTGAAGAAAATCAGAAGGCAGACTCCATCACTACTGTACGAACACAGAATACACTATGTGGCACTCACCTGATGTATAGGAGTCAGAACACTAATCAGTACAAGCACGCTAGAAATAACTAAAGCAGATGACTGGATTATTAAAAATACTCATCCTACCATCTTATAGTCCTAAAAGAAATATGTTTAAATCTACATGATGTTTTGTACAGGTCTTAGCCAAGTTGAAGAAAACGATACTTTTCTAGACATTTCGTCTCAGAACAGAGCACTCGGCACGTGTTATACTGCAGTATGTGCTCCATTCAGGCTCGGAGAATACACTCCTCTCCACACCACTAAAGAAGCAATATATGAAATCTCTAAGCCACAAATATCACCAATGTCACTTTAAACAAAGAACAACGCGAGATTACAAGCTATAAAGAGACTATGATGAAGCCAAAAAAACTGAAGCGAATGTATAAGTTAGGGTCTCTAGAAACATACAAAGGTAACATTTGGAAAATATAGCGGGTACAAAGATATAAAGCCCCTACATATTTCAGCCTACATCTATGGCTAGTAACACGCATCCTTCATAAGATAAGCTCAGAACTCTACTATGTCCCCAGGACAAAACAGCACACAGTGATCACTACTATCTGGGAGTCATGAGCTCTAAACCGTATCGACCTTCTAGGCTTCATCTCACAGGAGTCTCCTTCATATACTCTGTTCTCCAATCAGGGGAAACAAAACTGCTCAGTGCTGTGGCTCACAAACTGCCACGTGAAGATCTCACTGTTCGCTCTCTGGTGAGCCATGTTCTCTCAAGTTTCTGTGTACACACACTCCCACTTGCCCTAAGACTCCTGACAAATGAGATCTCAAGCATGAAAATGAGAGCTCTTGCTACAGCCTCCCATCCCTGAGAATGAAGCAACTCCCCACTCCCACTCCTTGCTTTGCCATTTTCTATTTAGAGTGTGTTTTGAAAACATTGTTTTGTGTTCTACACAATAAAGGGAATTTCTTATTCATCTTTGTATCATTCATAACATTTTCTATGGTTTATAGAGGATACTATAAAAGTAACTGTTAGATATGTAAGTTAAAAAAGCTTTCAACTTTGTACGTTATCGAGAACTAAAATTAATAAAAGGCTAAGCATATTTTATCATATTCAAATTATTCCTATGTTGACAATCCATCTACTCTTAAAAGCTACACTCACTTGCTGAGTTTACTGATACACTTAATATGCATAAAGCAATGTTTGACAAATATAAAAATTACCTTTTCATTATTGTAGTAAGAAATGCTAAGGCCATCAAATTTCACCCATCTCTTCTGAAACATACGTTTTCTGTAAAACATATAAGATTGTTATTCAATATTTAAATACTATGAACTTGGATTTTAAACGCATTTATAATGTTACCATGTTGTGT